CATAGTGGACACAGAATTCTATTGCAAATACTGTGCTTAAATTTTTTAATAAAAACTAACTTTAATATAATTGGTCTCCCTTACAAGATTTTAAGTAATCTCTACACCCAACATGGTTCAACTCACAACCCTGAGATTGAGTCACCTGCTCAGCCAGGCACCCCTGTAATCCTTTTAAATAAATAATTTTGAGAACATTATTCTGAGATCCAAAGGCTTTACCAGAATCCCCTCCACACAAATGTTAAGAACTCTGCGCCCAGATCTCTCCTGCTAGCACAGCTTTCCTTACATTTAAGGGAAGGAGTTTCCCCAGTTTCTTCATTCATCGCTTAACCAAGTACTATACATCAGGCATTGATTGTCTTGGGTCCACAAAGACAGAACAATGAACAAAACCAAGCCCCTCTACTTAAGAGCTTGGCAGGGACATGTGTGTTCACGTTTCCATGGGAAGGCCAGCAAAAGGAACTCTCCAGGCCTTTACCCTAAGTGACTTGTGTTACCTGACCTGAATGAGCATGTTGAAAAGATCTAATCCCAGAGCTGTCCTCTTCTTTCCCTCTTCACCTCAGCCCAGTGTCACAAAGCCACCATCTGTGGTGCCCATCTTCTAAAGGGAGTTTCAGACTGGAAGGAGGGATCATCTATTAGATGCTGCAGTGAAGCAGATGGTGATCCTTCTCAAAGTTTGGAAATGAAGGGAAATGCAACAGCTGAGAGGAGAGGTCGGGTCAGGGGACAATTTTTTTAATGAGAAAAGCTTTGGCACTTGTTTAGGCTGAGGGGGACAGACACTGAGATACAAGAGATTATTAGTGAACTAACCACAGAAAAAGGGGTAACTGAGAAAGGGCACAAGACAAGCATTCAATACAATGGAGTTCTCCATGGATTCTACAGAATCTCTCCAAAATGTGCTGAGTGGGCTTCTACAGATTCCCAAACCCCAGCACTTAATCTGAGGCTAAGCTTGAAGTTAGACACATTGGCCTAAAACGAAGCCTCAGATTTCCACATCCTTGTGGATGTGCTGCCACCTGCTGGAAGAATGACAGAAGTGGGGACAACCATTTGGTAGAGAACTTTTCTAAAATGGCTGCAACATCTTCACCCAACCCACCAAATCCACAACAGCAAGCCACCCATCAGGGAGGCCTAGGATTAAGAAATTTGCAGGATCCCAGTCCCTAAATAAAAGCCTGAATGTTCCCCTTTGGCCTTCTGGGGCTACCAACAACCCTCCAAATTCCTCTCCATTCCACACAAGTCAGGGTACCACCTCTGGAACAACCTGTAAGAACAGGGCTTGACTGTCACCCTTCTTTAATGGTGATAAATCACATAGTGTGAAAGTGAAAATATACCTTAAATGTCTTGTCCATAGGTTTACAGAGGGGATGAGGTAAATGCCTGGCATAGCCCAGGCACATTAGCTCTTTTATATTAAAATACAGGGGCACCTGGGCGGCTGTCAGTTAAGCACCTTTGGCTCAGGTCATGATCCCGGGATCCTGGGATGGAGACCAATGTCTGGCTTCCTACTCAGTAGAGAAGAGCCTGTTTCTCCCTCTCCCCCTGGCTCATGCTCTCATTTTCCTCAAAATCTTTTTTTTTTTTTAAGTATTCACAGAGGAACCTGGGTGGCTCAGTTAACCATTTCTCTTCTACTCTGGTCATGATCTCAGGGTCCTGAGACTGAGCCCCACACGGCATTCTGCTGCTCCCTCTCCGTGCTCTCGCATTAAGGAAAAAGGTATGGGAGCAAGTTTAATGGAATGGAGTATATTTCCCTTCCCTCTAGCAAGGAACCCACAAAAACCCCACCTCTGGGTGGTCAAATTCTATGCAAACAGCATTTGAGACCTGAGCACTGGCTGTGCTGGGCCTGGAGTAATGGCAACCCTAATTCATGTTCCTAATTGGCCAAATAACCTTATTTTCAGGTTTACTTAAACCTGCAAGCTTATCGGGGCAAGTACCCATGTGAGAAAAGACTATAGGGTCACGAAAGCCCTACAGTCATCCTTTCCTGGGTGTGAGATCCTAGCACCAACCTCACAGGCCTTCCAATAAGTTCAGCTGTAGGACATTATTTTGTCATTATGGCAGTCAGAATTCCATTCAGCTTTGCTATCATGTAAGAGCTAACAGACTTACAGTATCCTTGATATGCTCCAATTCAAACATCTGAATCTGGAGAAACACGATGCCAAGGTTTTCCTAGGTTTGACTGCTCAGAGAATACCCTCCTGCTAGTTTGACCTTTCTTCCCAGCAGCAAAGTTCCACTGGCACTCTCACCCTCCAAGCAGGCCATCTGTCTACCCCCACAGTACTTCCAACAGGACTGGTTTGAGTCACAGGTATGCGGAGCTTAGATTTCCTCACCCCATAGTGAAAATCAGGACAAAAATCAACTGTCCATTTATTTGCTTTAGACTGCCTTCTAAGCTGAACAAATCCCTCCTAGTGTAGAGTGTGTGTTTTCAAGTTTTTTTAAGTAACCTCTATATCCAATGTGGGGCTCAAGCTCACAACCCTGAAACCAAGGGTTGCACGCTGTACTGGCCAGGTGCCCCTTCTACAACTTGATTTGGCACGGAATAGTCGGATTCTAAAACAGGTGGCTATAATCCACCGGCTTTTGGATTTGGATAGCTTAGGTTTAAGATCTCTGCTCTGAGGGCAGCCCTGGTGGTGCAGCAGTTTGGTGCCACCTGCGACCTGGGGTGTGATCCTGGAGACCCCAGATCGAGTCCCACATTGGGCTCCCTGCATGGAGCCTGCTACTCTCTCTGCCTAGGTCTCTCTGAATAAATAAAAATCTTAAAAAAAAAAAAAATCTCTGCTCTGTAGCATCTGGGGCACTGTTTAGTAATCCTGTTAATCCCTTGGCAAAGACTTTTCATGTGGCCCTTAACTTTTATTAGTAGAGGCAGAGGGAACAAGGAGTACTTAAATGAGAGAGTACTGAACATAGTGTAATACCTAAGACCCTTCTCGTTAGTTTAACCTGAAGTTGTTGGAGGACTTACAAAAAATACAAGCCTTTCATGTCACCTTACCAGGCATTTCACCAAAACTTGTAGCCAGGATGCTTGAAACCAACTAAGTATTTCCAGCATGGGTGGTGGGCTGGATCTGGAGTGGCAGAGCTGGCTTTGCCATGCTCCACCTTCAGGGACAGTCCAGGAGGAAGTACAAGTCTGGCACCAGAGTTTAGGACTTTTAATTTGTCCCAAAGTTGCTGAAGCAAAAATCATGATAAAACATTCTGCTTTCCTTTACACCCCCCAACGCAAAAAAAAAAAACAAAAACTATTTGTAGGAAAAAAATGGTTTTGTACATGGGAAGAAACAATATAAATTCAAAACTTACAGATAAGGATTAGCTCTATCACTCATCTCTTTAAAAAGTTTATATGAATATCCAGTCAAAACCAACAGGGTATCTCCCTTGAAATGTTATCTATACGAATTTCCAAGTAGACCACAGGACTGCATACTGTCTTGGAATGTCCTCAGAAGGCTCTGTCATTGATCAGGTAACAGAGTAAAAACCCCAGAGTCCTTTTCTTTCAAACAGAAGAGGGATAGACAGAGGGATGGAAGAAACTATTCAAACTTCGTCTTCTTTCCTTGTGGCTTGTGGTCTCCCCCTCCTCCTCTGCCTCCTCGGAAGCCTCCTCGCCCTATAGGAAAGCAAAACATCATTAAAGAATGAGTACAAAGCTGCCAGGAGTCCTCCCCTCCCCAGAGTGATCATATGAGAACTTGAGAGATTGATCCAGGGAACCCGGAGTTCTGAGCACATTCTGAAGTGCATATGCCACACAATGTTCAATGCATATTACAAGGAAGTCCCTCCCGCAGCCTCCTTACCTCCAAAGCCTCCCCGGCCTCTGCCACCAAATCCACCTCGGCCTCCTCTGCCACCACCTCGGCCTCCAAAGCCACCCCGGCCTCCACCACGGCCTCCAAAGCCACCTTCACCCTTAGGTTTGGCCCAGTCCAAAGTAACTTTGTTTCCATCTATTTCACCATCTTCCATGGCCTCCTTGGCAGCTTTGGCATCTTCCTCACTGTTGAAGTCTACAAAGCCAAACCTAAAATGCAAAATGAAATTGCCCGTTATACAACACATACCAAAACAAGTGCCAAGATTAACCTCACATGTTGAACAGTGATCCCATAGGAAGTAAACTTGCTCAACACTAAGACACAAGTAATAATAGTAGCTCCCCACAGAAGCTCAAAACTGGTTTTATTGACTGCTTGAACCTCAGAGATGTCTCACAAAACAGCAACATATACCTCTGTGAAGACAGAAGGTAAAATAATGCTAACTGTGAATTGTCTCTTCTTCTCGTGCGAATCCATAAACTGCCACCAATTGACAGAAAGGAGCTCAATGAGAAGATACACTAGATTGCGGGGGCGGGGGGGCAGTCTCTACTTAGGCAGACACTGAACATTCATTCCCTGATCATCTTACCCTTTGGAGGACCCAGTCTCCCGGTCGGTGACTATCCTTGCCCGAACAGAGCCGTCAAATGATTCCTTTAATGTCTCTTCTGTGGTATCCTCAGACAGACCTTTGACAAACAGAGTTTTGGACGGCTCTACGGAAGAAAAATTGTACATTTTACCTAAAGCCACAATTCTTAACTGGATGCTGGCTTTCAACAATGTCCAGTATGGAACTACAGGCCAAGAATGCTCATCTTAGCAGAAGCTTGCTTTTCACTCAAAAGCTGTTTGGAAACAAAAACAGGTAAAAGAAACTTAGCAAACTAGTGCTTAATTAAAATAGAAGTCATAGATCACCACTATCTTAAGCTTACAATGATTACCAAAACAGCAGAGATCCGGTCTCAGATCCTTTATGGAAAGCAGGAGCAGCAATGCAAATAAGCGGCAATCTCTAAGCAGACAGCTTTTATGATCACCGCACAAGGCAGTAACCAGAGGCAGATGTGCTGCTCAGAGAAGACATAGCTGGATCAGAACTTGACTATCTAGAGGAATTTTCTTGATCTCATCAATTATTTTCTCAGATAATCAGTCATCATATCCAGTATCCTTCACTCAGCAACAAGAGGAAAACACAAATGTCCAGCTCTAAATTGGACAAAAAACAACCAATGCAGCATAGCACACTAAGGAGTGCCGACCCACACCACCACACCCTAATAAATATAACTTACGGCTTCTTGCATTAGGTGATCCTCTGGGTCCTTGCAACTCCAGTCTGATTGCTCTGCCTTCAATTTCCCTTTTATTACAGGAATTTAAAGCTTCTTTAGCATCTTCAAATGAAGCAAATTCTATAAATGCATACCTGAGGAAGAATAATCAATACTCAGAGCAAGTTACCAAGCACACGGCTCCTATATTATCTAATGCCACCAAGCCTTTTACCTCAAGAATATACCTAAATGATACTCTTTAAACCAACTTGTGGAGGCTTATAGGATTCAGCTTCCAGTAACATCCAGGAAAAAATTTACCTTCCCCCCTTCTTTAGATCTATGCAAAACATTCTTAGAGGCCATAGTTGATAACCTAAAGATGTAATTATTTTACCCTTTTGATTTGCCATTTTGGTTCTGGGGCACTTTAATAAAAGTTGCCTTCTCAAATACTTCCTGAAGGGTTTCTTCTGTGGCACTGTAGGACAGATTGCTTAAAACCAGTGTTTTTGATTCACCTACAAAGAAAAAAAATGCCAAATGAAGACTGAAACAATGGTCCTAAAGTTTAGACACGGCTATAATACCTTATTCAAGAACTTCTACACTTGCAAAGAGTTATTAACATGACAATGTCGATGCAGGTGGACTTCCACCTGTTACTAAGTATTTGTTACTAAGTATTTGTCATGCACGGTTTCCTCCGTTACCTAGAGATGTAAAAAAATATTGGTCTACAAGCTCCTAGAATATCTAGATTATAATTTAAAAATGCACACCATCTAAGCTAAAGTAAAAAACACACAAAAGCTAGATTTGTCTGTGTTCTAAAACAAAATGATTTTGTATAGCTTTTACTCAACTGAATGATCATCACTACAGAGGTATAACTTGTTTGATACCTACATACATCTAATTTATTAGTTAACTTAGGAAAGTTCAAAGATGCAAAGATTTCCCTCTGTCAATCCTGGAATTCTATAAATTCTTACCACTCCAAGTGCTATTCTTTCCACCTCTGTAATCTTGATTTTGCCCCTTCTCTCCAGTATAGTACAGGGAAATAGACCGCCCATCTATCTCTGTTCCCTGCTTTTCTTCGAAGGTTTTCTCTGCATCAGCTTCGGTCTTAAATTCAATATAAGCAATCCTGCAAAAAAGGGGGGGGGGGCACAACAACCATTTTTATTTTTATTTATTTATTTTTTAAAAAGATTTTATTTGTTCATGAGAGACAGAGAAGCAGAGACACAGGCAGAGGGAGAAGCAGGCTCCACGCAGGGAACCCAACGTGGGACTCGATCCAGGGTCTCCAGATCATGCCCTGAGCTGAAGGCAGACGCTTAACTGCTGAACCACCCAGGGGTCCCGAGAACTCATTTTTAAAAACCATAGTCTTTTAACAAATGTTTTAATCTCAGCAACAGAACCTTATTTCAAAGAGTACAATAAAAAAGTTGTTTCAAATAAACTGAAATGTTCTGGTTTTCTGCTATGTTCTGTGTTCCAATTAAAACTTTGCTCCTGTACTACCCAAGATTGCCAAGTACACCTTGAAAAACTGTTTCTAGTGACCCCACTTCACTGCGTAACTGCTATTATTTACAAAGCTAGGCACATTTCACAGCACTTTATACATGTTAGCTTGTCTTTTAAAATCACCCTATGGATTTAAGTATGCTAGCTCCACTGTGCAGACAGGAAATTGAGGCACTGGTTGAAGATGAATTTGGCCAAAATCACACACTTTGGAAAGTGAGATCAAAATTTTTTACAAAATCAAGGAAATGCATTGGTTTTAATAAAACTCAACAATCCATAGACAAAACATACCCTTTACTCTTTCCATCCTTGCTGACTAATCTGATCTCCACAGCGTCTTCAAATACTTCTTTTAATTCATCCTGAGTAACTTTGTAAGGCAGATTTTTTGCCAGAAGTGTTCTTGCATCTCGATCTAGATAAACAGACAAAATAGGAAATGTATGGCTTAAAAGACACTTCCCCATAAAAATCAACTAATGGAAAAGTTTTGTTCAACAAATAATTGGAGATCCTACAATATACAAGGCACTCTGCTAGTATGGACATGTAACAACGGCAAAAACACAAGTTACTGTAACTGAAATCAATTAAACATATGAACATTTTTGAATATGGCAAGTGAATACAGAGAAGGTAAAGGATACAAAAAGTGCAATTGGGATCTAACCCAGTTCCAGCAAGGAAAAGCTCCCTCTATATTAACCAATTATTTTTTAAAAGGGTCTATTCTTGCTTACCTAACTCAGGAATTTATAACACCAGCAAGCTGTGGATTTAACAGTTGAACTCATTCAATTCTCAAATTGTAAGGAAACCAAGGATAAAAAGTTAAATTATTTATTTACACTAGCCACCTAGCTCCCAACTAGATACATATCTACTAACAAGTAAGAGAGTAGTATCAAAATTACCCTAGTCTTACATACCTTTCTTACTGTCTTTTCCCTTTGGTTTTTCTAATTTAATTTCATTGCCGAAGACTTTTAAACCAGTGAGTTCCAAAGCTTTTTCCAGGTCTTCAGCAGATTCAAAATCCACATAGCCAAACTTCCTATAGAGTGAGAAGATGAAAAAGGCAAAATTATGACTAGGGGGAAAAAACCCACAAAAATATAAGCTAGAGAACACATACTGGGCGAGCAGTTACACTAATGTCAGGATGCAAACAAGGATTAAATAAAAATGCACCTATAGTATTAAAAGAAGTCAAGGCTCTGTAAACTGTTGCTACAGAGCAAGGTCTAAGTACGGGGAAATGATGCTGAGTTCACCTTTGAGGTCTTATTAGCCATACTGTTTGTAATCATCGATATTTTTTTTAATTTTTATTTTTTTTGTAACCATCAATATTAACCAACAAAAGAACCTGTTTATAAGCACCAAGAAAAAAACCTAATAAAATCATTCACTATTATAGCTCTTCAATTCCAACAATTTTAGATCTTTCTAGGAACATAAGCACCAAATCTCATTACTGAATACATTAATGTCTAATATTTGAAGACTTCCAAACCCAGCAGTAATGTGCAGAACTCCCTCATACTCACCTAGACACACCAATTCTGACATCCACAACAGCAAGATCATTTTTAGCGAAAAGGTCACTGATGCCCGTTTTTAATTCAGGAGCAGATTTGCTGAAGTTCAGGTTTCCAACAAAAAGATTGAATGACGTAGTTGGTTCTGTAGCTACATAAAACAAACTCAAATTAGTCTATTTGTAAAGTATGGTATGAACTTCAACTTCCAATACGTCATTACTACACAGAGCACATCAGACATCGTATTACATCATGTCTCAGTATTAAGTCCCTTTGTTGTTCATCACTTGTGCAGTGAGGTGTCATTACATTGTCTCCCCAATCCCTCATTCTCCAAGTTACCTTCTACTTTCTGTTTCTTGGCTTCAGGAGCTGCTTTCTGTTTGGCCATTTCCTTCTTTCGTTTTCCAGGTGCTTCTTTAACAGGCTCTGAACAAGATTTCAAACAATCTGGTTACCAGTGAGTAGCCACACACACTGAAGTGCCTTTTTGTTTTGTTTTAAACTCAACTATGCCCAACATGCAGCTCTAATTACTCCAAGATCGAGTCGCATGCTCTGCCAACGGATCCAGAGATGCCCCTTCAAGTGCCTCCTTTAAATAATACTTTTACAGCGTACTTCAGATGAAAACTTGATTACCTTCTTCTTCTTCTTCCTCCTCCTCCTCCTCATCTTCCTCCTCATCATCATCCTCGTCCTCCTCGTCGTCGTCATCTTCCTCATCCTCATCCTCCTCCTCTTCATCTTCATCTTCAGCTGTGCTCTTGGCCTTCACAGGAACAGCTTTCACAGGGGCTTTCTTCCCTTTGGCTGGTGTAGTCTCCATAGCTTCTTCTTCAGAGTCTGAAAATGAAGTCTGAGTTTGAAAAGTCAAAAACTCAAGAGAATCCTCCCAAAAACCAACATTAGTTCCAGGAAAATCTAAAGGAAATAGACTCCTATCAATGCCACTGTGCTTAGCAGTTATGGAAGGGATTAACAAACAGATCAGCTGGAAGCAAAATCCGCCATTATGAAAAACACTCACTAAAAGTATTTTCTCAGGGGCAGGCAAACATTTTAGATAACCTGAGTTTAGTGTACCATGAACACCTCAGGAAAATCCCTGGAAAAATGTTCATCTAACTCCCAGATTGTCATGGTATACGTATAATTACTGCCAAAACCTTACCCTGAGGTATCTTACAACAGTAGCCTAGAAACTAGCCAAAGAACTCCTCACCATCTTCATCCTCATCCTCATCCTCCTCGTCGTCGTCTTCATCATCGTCCTCCTCCTCATCCTCCTCTTCATCTGAGGCAGGAGCGGCAGCAGCTGCTTTCATCACTGTTGGCTCGAATTCATCCTCATCTTCATCCTCATCTTCCTCATCCTCCTCTTCACTGTCATCATCATCTTCCTCATCACTGTCTTCCTTCTTAGCATTCTTACCGTTCTTTGCTCCCTTGGCTGGGGTGGCTGCTCCTTTCTTACCAGGGGTTGCTACCAATGCCTTGCCTGGTGTGGCTCCCTTCTTGCCAGGTGTTGCTACTGCTTTGGCTGGTGCAACCGCCTTTTTGGCTGGTGTAGCTGCTGCCTTTTTGCCAGGGGTGACAACTGCTTTCTTGGCCGGTGTGGCAACTGCGACTTTTTTTGTTGGGGAAACCATTACCTTCTTTGCTGGAGTTGTGGTAGCCTTTTTTCCTTTTTTCTGAGGAATAACAACCTAAAGAACAAATAAAACCAAATGTAAGTCTTCTTCCAAACCCAAAGACAGCCTTGGTCCCATCAATGAGACTAAATTCTAACACTGTTCTGGTTTCAGACCCACATGCACTGGATGTTATGTTAGCATGCTAAACTACAGAACCATGTGCCAGAAATCACAGCCTTCATCTTCAGGTAAAATACTCAAGCATATGGAGCCCGTTTTTAACAGCTAAAATACCTCACACACTATAACCGCAACTTTAAAGCAGGCTTTAAGAAAATTTTAAACCTCGACTTTTTTTCTCCTCTGTAAGGGATAACAGCACCAACCTTACATATTGTTAGATTAGGAGTTGACATATATATGTAATTAAAAGTCTTGCACATAGAAAGCTCTACTTGTTAGATGCTACTGAATCATTCAGAGGTCCTACAGTGGGCAGTAGTTCATTGAAGGCTTGTTCTTAAGACCAGTAAAGGAGTATCAAATACACTGGATAGTTAACTCTTCTTAAGTTTAGTAAAGAGTAAGCACCTTAAAGCTGATAAAAACCATCCTTCATCTACATTAAAATTATACTTTTTTTTGCTCACTCCTAGTTTTACTGGGTACCATATCATCAGTAAAATATTGATTACATCCTAAACAAGAAATCTGAACACAAATACAACAGTTGTCTTTACAGTAAGCAAACAATAACCAAGAACAGTAATAGGTTAACACAAAGTGAGGTGGCAACGCTCAACCCACACCAAGATGTTCAGTAACCAGTATCACAATGCTCTTATACAATGAGACAAATCAATCCTGCTTGGAGGCTAGGAAAGGAATCTGGTAAAGCTAACCTCAGACCTGAATAAATGCACAGCAATGCCATTTACTTAACAGTTAATAGTCCAGGCTGTTTATTTATCTAGTAGGGTGGGTTAACATACTCAAACTAGAAAAATGTCACGGCTGAACACAAGTATAACGCCAAGCCCTACAAAAAATGCACATGAAAAGAGGACTCCCAATTTTTTCTCTCAAATTCAAATACTTACCTATATCAACATGTTAATGAAGAGCTTGGAAAACAATCTCAGCAGGCCATACTCAATGAATATAATCTTATTTTTGCCAATATTTTCATACATCCAGTATCAGCTATTTCAGCTCTCCATTTCAGTTTAACACACGTCTCCATAAAATTGTATATAATTACCTCTTCTCCGCTGCTGTCATCATCTTCATCTTCTGACATTTCCTCATCTTCACTGTCTTCTTCTACCTCCTTTGGGGGAGGAGCCATTTTCTTGGGGTCACTTTGATTTTTACCAGCCTAAAACAGACATTTCGCACATTACACCTACAACATCTGACCGTTCATATTATGCCATCATTCTTAAGAGTAAAAAGCAGCCGTCTCCCTACATAAAGTCCACATTTCCTAATGCTAGATATAAAAATTAACATGGACACTATCGAAGCCAACGTCAAAAAAGCAACTGTCAACCCCCACCCCATTACTCCTGTCAGGTTTTACAAAAACCCAAGGATAAAAATGCAACTACACAATATTATCTCCCTCCTCCTTTTCCCTTCGTTAAGCACATCCGTTTTTAAAACCATACTTCCAAAATCGACCATTACATCACGCATGATTTTAATGGACTACAACTGGCCAATTTTAACGGCCAACAATTCATAGCCTTTCACCGGGGGCGGAGAACCACACCTGGGGGGGGAAAAAAAAAGCTTTTGGTAAATTCTAGCACCAGATCTTACACAGTCGCCTGAATCCAAATTTGGGGGCAGGATCTTCAAGACTTTTATAAAAGAAAATCAGACCTTAATCTTACTACCTTTGGTCTGCCCATTAAGTTCTTTCCCGTGGAAAAAAAAACCCCGCCCCTTCCAGACCCGGCAGAGCCACGTGGGGATACCCCGTAGGTCACCATGTGCGCGCAGCACGGCGCAGAAAGCACGAGGCAAGGCCTCCTCCTGAAGCCCACCTCGCGCCCGCTGGTCTGGCCGGGGCCCACAGGCCACGGGGCCTCCATCTAAAACCATCCCGCAGCTCCCCGCCTCCCCTCCAAGTCCCCTCCGCAGACGCCGGGACACACGCGGCGCGGCCCACGTGGCGGGCAGCGCGCTGAGGCACGTGCGTCAGGAGGCGGGGCCCCGCTTGGGCCCGTCGCAGGAGTTCGGCATCATCCCTCCACCCCGAGGCCCAGCGCCCCCTCCCCACTCAGTCCCTAAGTCTTTCGGCGCCGCACCAACCACCCGCGGAACCTGCCGAAGCTCTTCACCACGCTACCAAATAGCCAAAAGCCGCGAGACCTCCCCGCCGATCGCGCGAGATTTCCCGCAGCATGGCGCCCTCGAACGCGCCCGGGACGGCGCGCAGGCCCTCCTTCTCGCGGCGCCGCGCGCGCGCTCCTCAGAAAGCAGGCCTCGACGTCCATGCTTGCGCAAGCCGTCTTCTTACCTTTGCGAGCTTCACCATGATGGCGGCTTATGCCGGCGGAGTGTGTGGCGGGCGAGTGGCGCAGACGAGCCCAGAAGAATCCAAGCGACGTCGATGGCGGCCGCGGGTACGAGAGGTTCCCGGAGCGCGTACGCTTGGCTGCTAGCTAGAGCTCGAGACTGAGGCGAAAGACTGAGCCTGCCCAGTAATCGCCTCTGGAAAGGCGACGACGGCGCCCTCGTGACTCCGTCTCGACCAATCAGAGGCTGCGCCCATCCCGTGGGCCAATCGCGAGCCTCTACCCAAGAACGGCGCGGGGCGGGGCGCAGGCGGGAGTGGGCGGGCCGAAGCGGGCAGGGGAGGGGGAGGGTATTCGGTGGCGGCGCCCTGGGGGCGGGACTCGCTTTGTGCAGGGCCGGCGCTGATTGGGTAGTGGGCGCGCGGTTCCTGAAGTGCCCCTCCGCGGCCCGCGCTCGCGACGCCTGCGCGGTAAGACGGCCGTTTTTGGCGCCGCTTGTTCCCGAGCCCCGGGAGGCTGGGTACTGGTGGTCTCCGGTTCCCGAAAGTGTCCAGGGTCCTGCTGACTCCGGAGGCCTCGCAGATGCCAGGCGGCCCTACGCGCGGCTCCGGCCCGCTCTCCACGCCGAGCCGCCCGGCGGCCGAGGAGAAAGTGTTCGCCCGCTTCTCCCTCCGCCGATGAGCCCGAGACCTCCGGAAATTCGGGGACCGTGAGGTTCAAAGCGCGCGGGTTGGAGGCCCGCCTCCGCCCCCCCCCCCCTTGCGCCGTCTGCAGGTGGTTCTCTTTCGGGCCACGTGTCCGAAGCTGCCTCCTGAGGGCTGTTAATAAAGACGGTCGCGGATGTCTGTGAGCGCTGCGCAAACGCCACATGTAACGTCCAGCCACCTCCTGCGCTAGGTTTTTGTCCCAACGAGGAACAGGCCCGGAGGAATAACTTTCTGGTGGTCACCGGGTGTTACAACGGCGGCGGGGGGAGGAAGTTGGTCAGGCCAAGCACCGACCCACTGGCCGCGCAAGTTCCCTTTTTGTTTTTTGGGGCTAAAGCATACCTTAAGGTGTGCTGACTGAGGAGGGTTCCGTGTCACCTAACGGTCCCAAGAGCCAAAGGAAAGGTGCCCTCAATGGCGGAGGC